GACTCTCCCTGCTCTTGGGGAAATCATTCTCTCCCCTCTAGCCCAAAAGAGCTGCCATTGTTCCTCACAGTCTTATATGCCTGCCCACTTAAGTGCCTGCCTGAAGACACTTTAATTTCTTACCTCTAAATTTCTTCTGTCTCTTGTCCTTTAAGGGAGGAAAGAAGAATGAGAGAGGAGAAGGAAAGAGGAAAAAAAGAAAAGAGATGAAAGAAACCATAATTATTATATAGAGGAATGGAGAAGTAATGATAAATCTCTGTTAGAAATTTCAGATTTATCCTTAATAATAATCATTGGTTTTAATTATGCTATCTTCACAGGTTTTATAATCAATGAGGTGGAAGATACAGATTTAATAGCCAGGTCATATCAACTCCCAAGGAACTGGTAGTATGAATTCATACTAAATAGAAAAAAAAGGGGCTTATGATTGTGTGTGTGTGTGTGTGTGTGTGTGTGTGTGTGTACATGTGTATGTACAGAGGAACCATGGCTTTTTTTTTTATTAATGTACAATTTTATGGTTGTCACATAAATCTTGGAATTTGAGATATTTGGAAGAGTATCCCCCTAATTAAAATAAATTATCAAATATTTTAACTAAGTTACATTGATTACTCCAAGTAATTTAGATTATTTTGGAAAAAAAGGGATATTTTTGTAGGTTTTCTCTAATCACAACAAGCAATACACTGAAATTTCACAGTATCTTGCAAGAAACCAAAGGAGTTGTATGTAAAAATATGCCTATACTGGTTATTCACATTTTGAAGTTAGAATAATCAATTAATGGAAATTCAATGCCAGTGATGCACTGGAAAACATTTAACAGTCAGCATTCTGGGAGCATGGGCATGGGGAGATTGCTGACTTGTAGTCTTTCCCAATTTCTTAGTGAAAACATTCCCATCGTGGCTGGTTTCAACCTACCGACATGATGTCACTGAACATGGAATTATGAAGAGATGCCAACACTCATTCACTCACTGGCTGCAGCACACACTGGAGTGTACCAATTTTTCTCCTCTTCTAAGTTGAATTTTATTACTTATTATGCCAGTATAATATTATTTAAGATAAAGATTGAAACCTGTATGAGCCTATGGTTACCATTAATACAAAATCTGTATCACCTTTCAGTGAGTGATTTCAGTCAGAAAAAGTATGTGATTCCAAAGGACCTGAAGAAAACATAAGGCCTGTGGAAATGCTACTGCAGGTAGACACTAATCCTGTGGATAAATGATCTGATGCCTGACAAATACATTGTACCTGACACTTGGTGCTGGTCTTTTCAAAGAAGCAGCTGTGTGTGTTCTAGATGAATGCTGTCTCACTGCAGCAGCTCCCAGCTGGCAGTACTGGAGTCACTGCTGCTGCAAGTTCATTATGAAAGCAAACATCTTACCTGCAGAGCAGATTCACTCAGTTCCACTGCTTTATGCAGACCAGAAATGATATTGATGGCAAGTCAGTGTGACTTCTCCAAAGTGGATTGAAGGGATTTACAGTAATCTGAGTCAAACACAATGCCAAAAACACTACTCATGTTGCTAATTAGGCTCATGGTTGGCTCTGAACCCACTGGGAGAGAGAATATTCAAATAAATTTGTAGCAATTAATGTATTTGCTAAATCTGTGTTATTTTTATGCAACTAAGACTCTTATTAACTGTCAATATCTGTCTTAAAATCTTTTTTGAGTAAACTGGGGACACAAAAACAATTACTCAATAGATAACCTCCATTGTCATGGAAATTCTTAAAAGTCTTCTTCCTTAAAAGTTCCTTAAAAGTCTTTTCTTACATTCTAACATCTTGAATATCCTAGCGGCCTTTATATCCTTTGTGACACCTATCCTGAAGTCATTTACATTGCTGTCTCCTCTCTTGGAAAAGATGTCCCACTTCCAGGTACCACATCTTTTGTATTTTCTCTGATTGTATGAAATGCAATGCAGAGATCCACTTGCACAGAAACTCTGAAACAAAAATACTGAGATGCAGATATAATACCATACTGAGAACCGAGTCTGACTGTAAACTGGTCGATGAGACCTTGTGATGTGAGAATGAAAAGAACAAAGATTCCTTTTTACTTATGTCAGCAGTCTGTGGACCTTTGACAAAGATTAATGTATCTAAATTGAGAACCCTGGCTTTGAAGACAGGCTTCCTGGATTTGAATCCAATCTATTACTAGTAGCTATATGACTTTGGGGGGAATAAAATCACTTAACCTCTCTGAGCCTCAGTTTCCTTATCTATTAAATAGGGAAAACCTATTCTGTAATTATTGCTGCTGAGAATGAACTGAGAAAAATCTAGAAAGCATTTAGAACAATTTCTCAAATATACTACACAATAAATGTTATAATGGTTGTAAATTAAATATGCAGATGAAATAAGACAAGTATTAAAATAAGCATATATAATATGGCATTCAGTTTCCCAAATTTTTGCTATATTCTGATTTTGGAAGTCATCAAACCAATATTCAGCTTGCTTTACAAAACTTTAAAATGGTGTCATTCTAACTGGAGTGTATTCAGCTATTACATATTTTGGAAAATCTGTGCAAGTCTGGGCATCACTTCATCTACACTACATACATCTTCTGCTTCTTATTCTCAAGGGGAACCAATTACATCTCTAACATCTTTGCCTTTTAGATATTCACATTCTCAATATACCTTTCTTGTTAATACTATATTTTTTCTTCTTCTCATATAACTTATTCTGTCTGCCCTCCATAGTAGATAATTTTGCTTACAGAAGAAAAAAAATTAAGTTCTTAACATGACCCCCAAGGCCCCCACAATGTTTCCTTCCTCTGTTTCCCCCTACTGTTGATAACTTTCCACCAAATTCCATACTTTTGCCAGACTTGATTACTCACCCAATTTACCACATATTTTCATTTGCTCAATTTATTACATTCAAATATTTGATGCTTACTTATTACATGCTAGATGCCATGCTAGGTGTTAGAGATTAAAGGTTTTTTTAAATGCTTAGGTTTCACTTTTAAGAAACTCACAATCTAGCTAGGCATGGTGGTGCACAGGAGGATCACAAGTTCAAGGCCAGCCTCAGCAACTTAGCAAGGCCCTAAGTAACTTAGTGAGACCCTGTCTCAAAATTAAAAAAAAAAGAAGAAGAAAAACAAAGGGCTGGGGATGTGCTCAGTGGTTAAACAGCCTTGGGTTTAATCCCCAGTACAAAAAAAAAAAAAAAAAAAGAAAAGAGAGACAAATTCAAAATGTAGCATAAAAGGTATATAAGCAACTCATCATAAAATAGTAATGTGATAAAATCTATAACAGTGGTGACTTGCTTATGAATTCATGTTTGAATCCTCAGAATAACCAATGGCTTTGCTGGGGAAGCTGGAAAATGTTTCACAGAAAAGGGAAAAAACTTTATCTTTGGAATTAAATGATTAGGAGATGAAGTATTCCACAGGCAGACAATAGAAAATGTTTATCAGGCAAATAAGATTAAATAAAGCTTTGACTTCATGAAAGTACATACAACAGTTAAGGAATAAGTACTCTGTGGGATATGAAGTGTGTCTGTGAGAAAAAGAGTAGTAAAGAAGGTTGGAGATAAACTGAAAATTGTTGCACATGCTGTAAGGGACGAAGGTGTCTTCCATTTCTACTTCGTTTGTCCAGCAAGTGCATCCATCCCTCTTCTGGAAGCAGACCTTGCTATAAAGCAGACATCTGACCCAGACTTGACCAGTTCAGACAATGGTGGCTTGAATGATATGCACCTCTCTCAAACAGGGCTAGGGTTAAAACTTTAGTGTGATTGGCACAGTCACTTGAAACAAGAAGTAAATTTTTTTCTGCTTCATGGTTAAGCAAGGACTCTCTATGATTAGGGTATCTGCTTAGTGGAGAAGACTTGTTTGACTTTGTAGAGAATAAGACCAATAGTCAGAGGAAGAGCAAGCACAGGTAAGTTACAACTTAAATAAGAGTAAGTCCCAGGATGCCAAATTTCCATCCTGGTCTGTGGGGCCACATTCCTGGTCCTCTTCCTTTTCTTCTACAACTGACCTTCCATACCTCAGTCACATGAGTCAATGAACCCCTTCTTGGTTTCAGGAAGTTTGAGTTTGGTTTCTGCCATTTTCAATGGGAAGGGTCTGCAGGTTAAGAGCTATTTTATATGGTAAGGCAATGGCAGTCACACAGAAATTTTAAGACATGAAATGGTTTTGAGCAGGTGAGTGACTGATCAAACATGCACTAGAAAAGGCCATTCTAGTGGGCAGTACAATGATGGACTTGAGGAGGCCCATTTAGGCACCTTTATATGCCTTTTGAGAATTTGGTTCTCTGTTATTAAAGGATCTCTGACTATGGAAATAGTCCAATAAGGTCAGCTCAGTTGGCACCTTTTCTCTGGTGCCTTTCTGATTTGCTCGGCTGGCAGAGTGGTCCTTTATTCTGTGTTCCTGCAGGGTTCACTTGTACCTCTGATACTCTGGGTCTCGGACTTCAGCATCCATCAGAATCATCTGGAAGGCTTTTTAAAACTAGATTGCTTGGCTCCACCCTGGAAATTTTTGAGTCAGAAGGTCTAAGGCAAGACCTGAGAATTCTAGCACATTCTAGTAACCATGCTTTGAGAACTGGGCCTCTATAAACATTTTATTACAGCTGGATTCCAATTCATTTGCTCATATATATCTTTTGCTAAATTAAAAGTTCCTTAAGGATGTCTTATTCATCTTTGTACAACTTTCAGTAGTTACCATAATGCTTTACATACCAGTGTTATTTGATATGTATTGCTGTATGATTAACTGGAGATAAAATCAACATCTTATCATAATAAATTCCCTCAGTTACCATTCATAGTCTCTCTCTCAAAAAAATAAAGTATGTCACTAGAAAAGAACTGAAAAGTAGAATATATTTCTTTGGGGCTGTCTAATTTTGATTACATCATCTGTCTGAGAGGGGCTGTGGGGGTAGCATTACCTTAGGCATCCGGTGACGTTGTAGAATATATCAAAATCCAGCAAACCATTGGCTTTTGGGTAGTCTCCTTCAGGCCACCCCGAGAAGGGGATGATGATATTCTCAGTCAAGGTGAGTAAGGCTTCTGTTATCATGAGATTCTTGAGTTTGTCATTTGAGGACAAATTCCACAGCAAACCTAGAAAAAGCACAGAGTTACCATGGGAACGTGTAGTGCAGGGTCACAACAACTGCTGGAAAGTCCAGGTAATACTTTTGCCTCCAGGACAAAAAGGTGGGGGAGGTGGAGGGGGGCTCAAGAGCCCCATTCTCAACTGGAAGAACCTGTTCGTTAGATGGCAACAGAAGCTGATTAAGAACAATTACATATATATAACTTATGATATAAAATGCGCAGGTTTAAATTAATTAGGAAGTGTGAATAAGAGCCAGAAATGCTGCAACCTTGATTCCTGTTTCTCTTAAAAGACCCCACAAAGCTAACCTTCTTTGGGTTATTAACTTTTGCCTTCTTCACAGGGGGGGTTTGAATGGTCCAATTGTAACTAAGCATTCGACATTTCAAGAGTTCTATTTTTTCTCCCTTAGACACAGGGGGAGACTGTCTTTCCTGCCTGCTGCTCTGCACTGCCTGTAACTTTCACCTGACATTTGCCTCCCATTCATTGAGAGCAGGAAGAGCCTGTAGAAAGTCTTTCTCTAGGCCTGCCAACAGTAGGCTGATCAACTAATGTCCACTGAGACCTACCCAGTGAAAGACAGAATTTATGCTGGATATCTTATGTATTTCTCATTTTATAGTTTGATACTGAAGGAAAAAGAAGAATACTGTATCTTCTCTATCTGCCAATTTACATGGTCTAAGTACTGGTCTAGGACTAGAACCACATTTTCACTCATACAACCTTCCCTTTCTTCTTAACCATCCCCTGCCCCCCCCCCATTAAAGAGAAAATTATATAAGCCAAGCAGAAAGATATTAATAGTCCATCCATACTTTCCAGTGCAACTGTAAGACAGATATTGAATTTGGTACTGAGAGAGTAGAGAGTAGCATATAAATTTAGAATCTGTTTTTCTTAAAAATTAGGTGCCCAAATACTTTGGATTCAGTATAAGAACTATGTAGCCTTTGCTTGCTATTCCAGTGACTCCCAGCAGCCATAAACTTGCCTGGTCATTTTTCCTACCTCAAAAGTTCATCCCAACTCACTGTCATTCAAGAAAGGGGAAAGAGTGAGGGGACACTAAGAGAAGGGATGATTCTTCCTTTTTACCATTTCCTCTCCCTGTTCCCACTGCATAATTCCTACTCCTTTTTTTTTTTGGAAGGGGGGGTATCAGGAATTGAACTCAGGATGTGGCCACTGAGCCACATCCCTGGCCCTATTTTGTATTTTATTTAGAAACAGGGTCTCACTGAGTTGCTTAGCACCTTGTTGTTGCTGAGGCTAGCTTTGAACTTGAGATCCTCCTGCCTTGGCTTCCTGAGCTGCTGGGATTACAGTTGTGTGCCACCATGCCCAGCTAATTCTTATGTCTTAAATTTACTGTATTGTCTGTCCTAAGGAAGAGAGAGCATAGTTATAGAGGGCAATCTACTTTATTAACTGAGCAAACATGGTGGTCTTGCCTGAATTAAGTGGCGATATCATATTCTAGTTTAATGAAATAATAGTCTGCATGGTTAAAGACTGGTAATTATTCACCCATACTTCTATTTGGCCCAATCAATTAGAATACTTTGGGCCTAATACAGTCATTTGGGCTTGAACAGTTGGCTTTGGCTATGCAAAAGAAATTTTTGAAACAGCAACCAAATTTCCACTGGAGCCTACACTAGCTTCCATTAGCTGCAGTGGCAGTGGGTCTGCTGTCTGGTGAGGACTGATTTCTGTCTTACAGGGAGTCTTTTCCTGATCAAACTGGAGTTAGTCAGGGGCAGTCCCTCAGCCACAGGTTTTGCAACACAATGACTTCATTCCTCCCACTTCAATCTTAAGGGGCCCTGGAAGGGGGACAGATAAAATAAAACTCAGAAGGTGGCTGAAGACAATTTAAAGGCGAGTCTGAAACTGAGTTTTGGTTACTAAGCTACAAAAGAAAGTTTGAAAGAAAAAAGAAAAGCTTCCTGAGTTCTAAATAAGCAAACAAATTAATAGTCTCTGCCTGCCAGAGGCTTAAAAATGTGAAGCATAATGACGTTTCCTCTTTTTATAAAAGACCACACAGGGTACTCAAAGGAAAAGCACACCTTACAATAAAACCAACAAGGATTAATGTGAACAAAGGGAATGGAATTTTCCTTTAACAGTCAATATTCTTTATAGCTTGGCATGCTACATTATTTCTACAGAAGTATATGGTTTGAGAAGTTTGGGTATAATTTCTGAATTTTTGGTATAGGGTATTATATAGAAATGTCATGGCCATCAAATTTCTGGATGGCATGAAGCTGGGAGAGAACCAAAATGCTCAATAGAGATTTGGGGTTATATACTTAAATGCTCATACCCTCACACATATACATACAAAATCAGTAAGTAATCAGCCGTGAACTGGGACAATATGTACAATGTGAGGCAAAGGGTCAACACTTTGAACATATAAATTATTTAAAAGAGAGATACCAGTAGAAAAATAGGGAAAACACTTAACACATAACCAAATGATATTAAGGCAAATACCAACAGGAATGCATGTTGTCTAGTAACTGAAGAAAGGCAAATTTAAACAGCTAGCCATCATTTTGTCTAACTATGGGAGGGTGAAACCAGAAGCAGATTCCAGCTCCTTTTGAAGAAATCATAAAGACCTATTTGTAAGATCACTGAACTGGGTAAAAGTGAGCTCATCCCTTACCAAAATGTTGACAAGAATTTATAGTGAAATTAGTGTTAAGAGTAGCAGCTTCCAAATGAATACAGTGATAAATCAGAATCACACTCAAATCAGAATCATACTTGGGCTATACCCCAAATTTACTAAGTCAGAATCTCAGGATGGAGCCTAGGAAATTGTATTTAAAAAAATTCTAACTTTTGGCCTTAGGAAACCAGATGACTAGATGATTCTGAATATATGTCCATTTCAATGATCCGATTCACTAATGTAATGTTTAGTATTTAGGTTTCCATTTGTGTCACTTTTAACTTCTGGTCAGCTTATTCATAAGTTTCCATCACAGTTCTTGGTTGCAGCAGGTAAGCCTGAAATTTTAAGCTCTCATTCTAACCCAAAGAAAGGGATATGGATTTTGATAAGACACACTATTAGAATAATTATGAAAGAGACAATGACTCCATTATCCAGAAGTTAACTGCCAACTGTGAGATTTGAAAAAAATAGATATTTAGTAAAGGGATTTTACAGATATTAAAACCCATTATTTTGTTAATATTGTCCTGTAGGACAGAAAATATAATTTTTAAACTAAATTCCTGAATCTGGATTAACTTTTGGGTAGCAAAACTTACATATTTTATATTAAATGAATCCCTATCTTCATTGAAGGAGGAGGAGGAGATAATAGTGACAGGACAATAGGAGAGAAAATTGGCTCTTTTTAACCTTGGTTTTCAAAGTGAGTACACAGCAGGAGGATTTTTTTTTTTTAAATTTTCCCTTAGATGTATTTACTGCTCCTTCCATCTAAATTTTGTTAATATTGCCTGGAATATCATATTATTGCTAAGGCTGTTTATTCCAAGTCATACACAAACCCAGAACACTTTGTGGTGCATTTTGAGTGCAGAGTAAAACAATATACAATATTTAATGATAAATAATGAATATTTCATAGTAAAACATTTTTGATGTTTTATTGAAATGCAGCAATAGAATCTTTCTAAAAATATGCAGAGGTAAATTTCAATTTTCAAAGTTTACTGACAATCATCCCCTGACTCTTCCTTGTAAGCATGCATAGGAGGGGCAAGAACCTCTGCTTTGTTCTTACCATAACCTGTTTTAACCCAAGGTGCAGGCCTGCTCACTCCAGCAATGTGCACTTACTACTCAGTGACCTTTAAGACAAACTTCTAAGACCAGAATGTGCTGTTCTCATTTCAGTTACAGAAAGAGTACCACAATTGGCCTCGTAAGACCAAAAGAACTATCTTATGGGGCAAAGGGGGCTGGTTATCTTTGACCCTGAAGTATTTTCATTAGAAGAAATGAAAGTTTCTCTCCCAAACTGGTGCCAAAAGGTTGAGTTTATGTTATTTCCTAGTGAATAAAGTTCTGATGCTGAATTTTCATGCATACATAGAAATAGATGGTTTATTTTTTAAAAAATATTTTGGCTAGAAAAATCAGGGTCTTATCTTAAAACTCACCTACTCTCTTGTTTGTGCATCATCTGGATATTCCAAGACTACAAGACTCTGTTACACTCCGTCAGACATCCATAGTTAAAAGAGCTATAGTTGGTACCACAATTAAATATACAGGCATGACGTAAGTGGCAGCCCAGTATTAAAGGATGTAGTAATAGTTCAGAGAAGCCCCTTCCTTTAAAACGTGAGGGGGTTAGAATAGAAGGATGGCGCCTGACATGCTTCACAGAAGTGGATCTGTGTCAAGATAAGAGGTTCTCCAGGGAGTCAAGGTGTGGAGAAGGACTCTAGCCCATGCAACAGCAGAGACAAAGATACCAAGACAGAAAACACACTGGACAGACCAGCAGGCCTTTTATTATTTCAGAACCGTGGCTAGAAGGGTCATCAGGCCTACATCAAAAAATCTTTGTATAGTATGTCCTGGAGTTTAGATTTTTTTCTTATTGGTACTAAGAAGAGTAATGGGACAGTGTTTTTATTTCAGAAAGAAATCCTTACAAGCAGAGAGAGGAGGATAGATTGGCAAGGTGCAATTCTGAATCACAGAGAAGAGACAAGGCAAAAGCAAGAAGAGTGAGGAAGGGTCAGAGAGGAGCTGGACAGAACTCTCTGAGTCAAGAGTCTCAAACACAAGCTGTTTCCCAAAGACATAAAAAGTGAGTCAGTATGTGTCTCAAAAGGAGTACATGGCATAATAGAGCAACACATGCAGATGAAACCAGGTTCAAACCTGGGCTTTGCTCTTTACTGGTTGTGTAACCTTGCACAACTTATTTCCTGCCTCTGAGGCTCACATTGATCATGTGTATATTATCAATTATACTCCCACCCGTTATGGAGTTGGCAGGAGAACCAGATGAAAGACAGCCCTAGCTGAGCCATTAACTCATAATAGGAACCCAACAAAAGGTCTATGAAGTAGGCCGACAGAAAAGATTCACATGTATGGTTACTTGCTTTATGTTTCTAAACAAAGATTCAAATGTGTCTCCATTAAGTCAACTATTTCTGAAGCCCAGAAAGCACTTATTTAGCTCTTCTATTTGTAAAGCTAAAAGGAATTATTTAGAAGGATTTGCATTAAATGTCCAAGTATCAATTCGGTTCAATTATAATGAACACCCTCCAGTAGGGAGTTTTGGCTTGTACTGCAGACCCTGGGTATGGTACAATCAATTTCCATTTTTCAGCTCTATAGATTATTTGATGTTCTGGGTGGTTTCTATGGCATCTATATCACAGAATGTTCTCTGACTTTAGTTTCCTTTAACTTGTACAAGAGAGGAGGAAGGGTGGCTTATTGGTTTACTTCTTTGAAACATACATACACACATACTCTCTTTTTCTCTCTCACCCCAGCTTTCCAGTTTCTATGTACCCTAACTTCAACCAGTCTATATTCCAGGTTTATTCTACATATCAAGGAGCTATTTTTTCCTTTTTGCTTTCCAGTGATGTTCATTTTGCTAGAAATAACTTTCATTCTTCCTCAGAACGTCCATCTAAAGCCTGTCCCCTCTTCTAAAGACCCACAATGAGACATACCTGCTTTATGGAATCTTTTCTGGCTCTAAAGTAGGAAACTCTGTTTGATTCTCTCTTGTGGTTCATTACTACATTTAATGGAGAAAATATTGGGTTCTAAAAGTAAAGTTTATACTTCTATTTTTATGCCAACCATCACATAATTTTTCATGCTTTAGCAGATGAAAAAAAAAATCAACAACCTTCCTGGATTGTGCTTCTCAGTGCCCAAAGGCTGCTGGAAATGTTGGCCATGAGAATTAGCTCACTCTTAATTTCTACAGATATTTTGATATAAATCATGTATATGAAAAGAAATCTCTCATGGGACATACTGGCAGAAGGTAGCATAGAACAACTTCACATAGCTTTATATAATTAAAATATATCATTAGAATAAAGAAAAATATATTTTAACTAAGACATAATGACAAAAATTTTTTGTAGAAAAAATGAAGAGTTGTCTAATAAGGTATGAAAGACAGAAAGGCAAAAATGTATTCAATATACAACATTATTTATGTAGCTCCTCCTTTTAAAGCATCTATCAGAGCACTGTCATCTGTTAATACATTTTTGAAAATCAATTTTTTGTTTGATGTAGTAAAAGCCATTAACTTCTTTGAGCCTTAGTTTCCTTGACAATAAAACTGAGATTTAATCCTAATAATACCTCAAAACCTAAGGTTTCTTTGATAATTAAATTGCAAAGTGTTTGTGTATCTCTTTGAGACACTGATGATACTTAAGCTCCTCAAGAAAATACTACTGATGACTGCACTCGGCAACACGTCCTGTGCTCTTTGGAATGTGTGCAGGGAGCCTTAGCAGACAGCTGAGGGTGACAGCAGGGAGGGTGGTTTATGTGGGAACCACAGACCCTTTCCTTCTCTTTCATTTACCCAATTCATTTAAATGAAACTAGCCTGGTCTTTATGCTTCAAGGATGTACTACTAAAGGTCTTGCTCTAGTTCTATCTGGATAATTCATCTTCTCTATCCACTGGGTAGAAAGCAGACACATTCAAACAGAAATATGAAGTAGAGAATTAAAAACTGCATTCAGCCACTCTTTCTTCTCCTTTTGGGGATGGAGGTATTACTGAAGAGGGATTCAGGTGATGGAAAGATAGGATTAACAGTTTCTTGTTTTTTTGTTTTTTTTTCCTTTTTGGTACCAGGGATTGAACTCAGGGGCACTTGACCACTGAGCCACATCTCCAGCCCTATTTTGTATTTTATTTATAGACAGGGTCTCATTGAGTTACTTAGTGCTTCGTCATTGCTGAGGCTGGCTTTGAATTTGCGATTCTCTTGCCTCAGCCTCCCAAGCCACTCAGATTACAGATGTGTGTCAATGCACCCAGCTCAGTTTCTTGTATTTTGACTAATTTGATTAATTTGATACCCTCTACATTGGGAAACTATTTGTCCATTTCACCTTCCTTGTACAGGTCCAGCAAGCTGGCTGACTCGCAAATAATAAAAAATAATTGTGTGGGGTTCTTGTTAGTTTCCTAAAGAATGTTTTGGAAACATGGACAACATTGAAACCCCACACATTCTCAAACTACAAATCTGGCTGTTAGTGAATTTATGCAGAATTTTCATGTAGTGACTCTTGTCAAGAAGTTGTTTTCAAGACTTTTGTCAAAGGTGCAAAGGGTTTCTAATGAAAAATATTAAGCAAAGGCTTCAGAATATTTTCCTCTTTAGAAAAAAAGAGTTCAGATATGGTTTGAGTCTGGGCACTAATCCAGCAGGTAACAATGTTCCTTTAAAGGCATCTCTTGGATAACAATGAGCTCATCAATCAACTGTTCCAGGAAACTTAAGAATAACACATGACATAACATATCTGGCTGGGCTGACTGCTATGCTATGTAATGTTCAGTAAGCACTACCTGTTATTTGCTTTTTAGTCTCCAAGTCTCTGGTTTGCTTCAGCACCTGGAGCAGCCGAGGTACCCCATTGAGTTCAGCAACCTCCAATTTGTTGTCATTGTCCTCAAATACCAAGTTTCTCAAGGCCCCGCACACGGCTCGCTGTACATCTTCATTCTGGACTTTGAGTAGCTGTAGAAGCTTGGGGATGCCACGAAGCTGATTAACCTGGGGAAGAAGTGGGTGCATATTCCTAACATTAATTTTGATGTGGTAGTAATGCATTTCATGCTTTATGAACAGATGAAGTTCACTATGTTAACTGCAATACTTATCAGTCAATAACTGTACATAGCGCAACTTGGGACTCACACTATATAATACACCTCTGCTGCAAAGCAGTATCTGTCATCAGTAGCTTGAAGGGGGAAGGTTAAATGATAGAGGGTAGACAGAGTTATTTAAGTAGGTAACAGAAGTTAAGTGATAAAAGCGTGGACCATAATAAAAAAAGAAGAGAACTAGGGATCAGGGGAATAAGAGAAATTTTAGAGAACACCAAATTACATGAGTACTTTTTACAGGACAAAACTTTACCATCAATAATGAAATGGATCACCTTCATCAATAGTAGAAGTAAAAATTCATTTATCATGGCAATATTAATAGTAATGCAACCTAACTCCAAATCCAAGTTATTTTTATGATCAATTATTTTGAGTATTTAAAAAGGTTTACATAAATTTTGCAAGAATTTTAGTGTAAGTAAATAATTTTATGCTTTTTTTTTCAAAATTTTCTTAGTTGTTGATGAACACAATATCTTTATTTTATTTATTTATGTTTTTGTGTGGTGCTGAGGATTGAACCCAGTGCCTCACGCATGCAAGGCAAGCACTCAACCACTGAGCTACAACCCCAGCCCCTAATTTTATGCTTTTTGATGTACTATTTAAAAAATATTTCTTCTAGTCCAGCACAGTAGTGCATGCCTGTAATCCTAGTGACTTGGGAGGCTGAGTCAAAGTCAAGTTTAAGGTCAGCCTTAGAAACTTAGTGAGGCCCTAAGCAATCTATTGACCATGTCTCAAAATAAAAAATAAAAAAGGGTTGAAGATGTAGCTGAGCAGTAAAAGTGTCCCTAAGTTCAATTCCCAGAAAAAATATATATGTTATATATATTACATATGTTATATTATATATATGCACCCACGTATATTACATACACACATATACATATATACATATACTTACATACATACACACACATATCCAAATACACAGGAAAGAACACATTGTCTATTGGAGAAAATGCCAAAACTAGCAATGGAAAAGAAAAACACATGGTTTAGATTCAGAAGCTACTATGGCTGCTTAGAAAAGGTCAAATAATATCAATTTGAGTAAATCAGTTTGGTGTTTTAGGCTGCAAATATCATCAAATGAAAAGGGAAAGGTGGACAGAGGGTTGGTACAAAGAAATGTTAAGTTGTAGTCTGATGGCTTTCCCTCTTAAAGGCTTCCATTTGCATCCAATTTGAAAACTTTTAAGTTGGTGAGAGATTTGGGTACAGATCTCAGTCATTATGACCATCTTAATGCAAAAATTTCAGGTAGCAAGTTTATGAATAGGGATGAACTTTTCTTTCAAATGAAGTTAGTTAGGTATGAAAGGTACCTAACTGCCAGCAGTCTGCCCTGTGTGTGTGTGTGTGTGTGTGTGTGTGAGAGAGTGTGTGTGTGTAGGGGTGTGTGAGTGGCACACCTGGCTTAAAGGCACATTTGCATGTATTCTATATAAAATTCCAGCCACCCTCTCTTGTTAATAGTAGAGATAGTATTTATGACACAATCTTCCAATCTTATGTCTTCCTTTGTTAGCACTGGGAAAAGACTACAAGGAAGGAAGGAATGAAAGTCCAGGTTGTAAAACAATCTAAATAATAATAATAATAAAAGTAATAAGTACAATAACAATAAAGCAAAAATAACAACTCTTCCTCTTCTTGTATCTCTCAATAAGAGGTGTCACCATAGTCTTAAAAAGTTCTATAGACATTAACTAATTAAGAGCTTATAAGACCTTTAAGAGGGCCAGGCATGGTGGCACACACCTGTAATCCCAGTGGCTAAGGCAGGAGGATCACAGGTTTGAAGCCAGACTCAGCAATTTAGCAAGGCCCTAAGCAACTTAGTGAGACCCTGTCTCTAAATAAAAACACAAAAAAGGGCTGGTGATGTGGCTCAGGAGTTGGGCGCTCCTGGGTTCAATCCCTAGTATCAAAAACAAAACAAAATAAAACAAACCTTAAAAGGAAAGTGCTCTTTTTAAAATAGGACACATAAAAACATAACTGTTGTATATGTCACTAGGATATCATGGGATGTATCAATACAGAGCAAAGTACTTTTTGATACCCTTAAGGCTTCACTGGTATTTTTTTTTTTTCTTCACTGGTATTAATGAGCAGTAACACTTTCACTTACTGGCTTTCTTATACTTGAACAATAAGAGACAGATGGGAAGTCAGCCAGAGCAATTCTGTTTGGCTATAACTAAAGCCATTCTAATATATTCATACATCAATGCCAATAATAAGGATTTCTTAGGTACCCGTTCGAACTGGTGCAAAAGATCCACATCTACTTGTTTGCTTCCTCTATTTCCATTATTATACTTCCTTAAGAGAAAAAAAAAAAAGAGCACAATTTATTTAAGACAACTTATAGTTCTCACGTTTCTCTAATGTTCTAAATTTTTATTTTATAGTTAAGTTTTAAGGTAGCAAAATTCATACTTCATGAACTTCACAAATGGCTAGCTAAGCCAAATCTTCACAGCAGCAGCAGATACATCAGAAGCAAAAAGAAAATGCTGTTTGTCCTGAGGTACTTTGGCAGCTTTAGAAATATTTTATTAACTTAATTTATAATTTATAAGTTGCCTTCTTCAAAATATGATGTGAAATAGCTCACTGGCCATATTGCATTTCAAGCTGTTATGATAGGATTAGTGAGAAGTGGAATGAGGAAGCCTCTCTGGCTCTCACCGGTCACCTTTATCCCCTTGGCTCTCAGCACTTGCTCCAGTCCGGAAAGAGGGTACTGCAGACATGACAGTGTGCAGATAAAGGCTGAAATCCGGCTACTGTTCTACCTTCTGTAGAATTTGACTCCCTAGTGTCTGGAACTTAACCCAGGTTTAAAAATAGGCTTCAGTTTCTTTTATCCACTTTATCAAACAAATGGATATAAATCTGATGAAATGCAAGAAGTGAGAACTCTTCCCTTGGGCATTTAACTAGAGGATGGTAGATGATGAATCATGTATAGATTAGGATCAAAATCAAATGTGCTGCTTTTGTCCCTTAAAACTCAGGGAGGCAGTTGAGACCAGAAATGTTTGACGAGTTTCCTTGTCATATTGAATCCTCAGGGGACTTTTTCTTCTTTTGAGGAGAGAAAAAAAGAAATCACTAGCATAAAGTCTCAGAACTTCAAAAAAGCTTTCATTTGAAATGGTTTCTAAATTTATGAACGGGCAGAATCATATTAGAATTTTATCTTTCTCTTTGGCTTTCTGTAACATTCTTCCCTGCTAACTATAAAATAAGTAAAGGAGCCAGGAGTGGTGGTGCACACCTGTAATCCTAGCTACTTTGGAGGCTGAAGCAGGGAGATCATAAAGCAAGGCCAGTCTGGGAAACTTAGTGAGAACTTGTCTCAAAATAAAAAATAAACAGAGGTGAGGTTCAGTAATAGATAGAGCATCCCTAGATCCAATCTATGGTTAACCCTCACCCCCCACCCCCGGGCACATACACTCAAATAAGTAAATGATGGAGATTTCAGGTGAAAAATAAGCAGCATGGGAAACACCTGACTTTGGAGAAAAAGGCTGCGGTACTGCACAGTCTTTGCTCTCACGTCCTTCCCTGTCTGGAATGTTCTGCCCACTTCTCTATTCTGGCAAAGCCCTGCTCATCCTGCATGATCCAGCTCAAATGTCACCTTCTTCGTGAAATGTCACTCCCTTCCTCTTTCCTTCCCATTAGAATTAATCATGCCCTATAAATCGGTCTAACCTTTCAGGAAGGTAATTGGCAACATGTGTCAAAACTTTAAAAATATTTGCTTCTGGTAACCTTCATTAGGAAATAGTGTGAAATGCAGACACACACTAATATATAAAAATAGTAACTGCAGTATTTATAATAATGAAAAATAAGGAACCATAGAAAGCCAACAGTGGAGGAGAAGCAGTTGGTGACTGTCACATATCCACATGTTGAGATATTCATGGGAGAGGCAGAGCAGTGTTTGAACTGACAGACATTTTATTAGTCATACATTTTCCCCATCAGTCAAATGGAATTGTGTAAGGTTAATTATCATGTGCTAGGCACACAGTAGTTACTTAACACTTAGTAGTTACTACTATTACCATTAAAATGCCACCATTAAGCTAATGTTTAAAAAATATTATTAGTGTTATGAGAAAATGCTTATGATACACTTTTCAAAGGTGGAATAAAATATATCTGCATTTCCACTCATAAACACAGGCATAGAGAAAAACAGGATTAGGGGATTTGGGAGAAGTGATCAAAGGCATAAATCATGAATGGAATCTGCTATTTTTTTAAGGGTATATCTGTGCATACTTAAAAAATTTTAAAATCCCCACAAAACAAGCTACATATCCAACTTGGTTGCAGATATGTAAGTTTATGTGTTTAATATCAGAGGAAAAACCCTAAAATAACAATGGTAGGATTAAGGGTATTTTTTTTTCTTTTTTAATTCTCAAATTTCTTAAAATGAACTTAAATTAGTTTTGTAAGATTTTGCAAAACATTTATAGTGGTCACTACTTCAGTGATAAGATTTGAAATATACATGGAAAAGGACCATTTAAAAAAGGGTTTTGCAGATTAAATTAAAGGATTTATTTTTAATCCTGCAGGCAAGATCGGCATTAATTGGAAAGATCTCCCTAAAAGGAGACTGGATTGGGAGTAGGTAAGAATGGAAGTAGGGATATTAGTTAGGAGGCCACTGGATTAACAGATGATGGTGACAGGGACCAGGATAGTAGAGCTGAGTAGGGAGTAAAAGGTGGGTGTTGGATTAAAGATATTTTTACTAATAGTATTAGAGAACTTGAACACTGAGTAAAAACAAAAGGGAAGGAAAAAAAACCCCAACAACCTTTTTTTTGAAAGTCT